ATTTTGATTTGTAATTAAAAAAGATATTTAAACTCGCTATTAAAATTCGCTCGTGATAAAGATCTTCGTAATTAAAATACACGACTCTTTCCTTACAAAAGAAATGCAAAATAGTGTTGCGCGATATAGAAAGCGATACGAAATATCTTAGATCCCATCAATAAGAAGCACAATTTGATTGCTATCTATCATTATCAAAACGGCTTGTTTGCCGATAGGATTGAAATACAAGATTGAGATTCTCACGGTGCGACTAACATATGACTCACAGTCGCATATATCGACGTAACACCGACACAAAGCGCCGGTCATTTACATTTGTCAGAGTCAGGTATCCATCTCCATCTCGCATTCGTGTCGATCAATCGAATCGAATCGCATCTCACTCAGCCAGCTAACCAGCCAACGATGCCGCCCGTTGTGGTATTTCGTCTTATGCAATGACGTACCGCTGCGGGGCCAAATTGGTCAGTAAATTTCAAGATGAGCCTCCCGTCCTTTCGTAATAATGATAAATACCCGGCTGTCCTTTTTCTTCTCCCACCTGCAGCCGTGTTTTTCTCCCCGCGAGACGAGACAGGACTGATCTTACCGAGGTCAACCACATTGGCTCTCGTTTGCGTAATACAATTATAGCGTGGCGGGAACATGAACTTCTACCTTTCGGCAACAGTATTCGTCGTGATGAATTCTTTTTAAATATTCACGCCAGTCTGCATCCTATTCTACATCCTAGATCATAAAATCTCGCCACTGTGTCCTTCCGTATTGTCATGTAGATCATTAATAAAAAGAATCTTCGAACAACTTGAGACATAAGAATAACATTAGCATTAGTTCAGCATGAGAGAGTCATTAATAAATTTAGATATGTTTGAAAAATAATACTTCTTTTTAAATCATGCAAATTTTATCATATCGATACGATAGATGATATTTTCAAATTCGCTTTTAATTTCAATTGAATTTTAATTTAAACTTTTTTATATAAAGGTGTCTTATGTATTGTAGCTTTTCATTTTAATCTCTTTAATCTGATATCAAAATTTTTACTGCAATATCAAAGGATGCAGTAATAATATTTGTTTATATACCGAATACGAAGGAGAAAGTAACACTTTTTATGACGTGTATGCGGCGAACGAACATGTCACTATCAGGTTCTTACTATATAATACACGATCAAACTGAACGTATCGTGAAATGTCGTGAAGTAGACAAGCTAAGACATGAGTTTCTGCTCGCATGTACAATTCAGCTAAGAGGAAAGACCTCTGTCATGTTAAACAGCGAAAACGCACATGTACAACATGGTCAAGACTTTTGTCGGCTATTGACAATTGCTCTTTAGTCTTTCTCATGTCAATGGCATTATTCTTCGGCGATAGAAACGTGACTCTGTAGAGAGAAAGTATTACGAGTCAGCGATAAAAAAAAAACGCCAGCGATTTTTGCTACATAGATTTTTATTCAATTATCTTTTTTTCAAAGATGATTGTATAATGATACATAATAACGCACTGATGACAGCAGGTCCAAGATATTATTTAATATAAAAATTCGAGATGTGTCGGTAATTAAAAAGTACTGCAGTTTAATGAATTATTACTAAATAAAATTCTTTGCAAATTTGTGGAGCTAAATTAAGTTGGATAAATTGTCGATTACATTTAATATAAAGAAAACCTCACAATTTTTCTCAATTCAAAAAATGATATAATAATTAGTAACATAACAAAATAATAATTTTATAAAGTATAAAAATTTACACATATTCTTCAAACTATATATATATATATATATATATATATATATATATATATATTTATATTACACAATAAAGTTTATTTATTTTTTACTTGAAAGGATATTTTACTTCGCTACAATATATCATTTAGAGTGACTTTTACTCTCGGACATGACATAATCAATAAAGATTACGCTAATCAACCGAAGCATTTATCATTGTTGGCCGAGATAATTGGAAAGTGCAAAGATCTTAGGCGCACACTTTATTAGTGAACGAAGATATAATCTGTGATGCTCTCGCATGTGCGCGCGTTATGCAAGAAACCATATTTACACCTTATACGGTTGACCCGGTCGCACTCTTACCCATTAAAACCCTCGTGCGCCCCACACCAATTAAGACTGTTTCGCTAAGAACATCCGCCGCGTTAAGCCGACCAGACAAATTGCTTTCTCCAGTTGACGTTCACCGAGTACGGCGTGGTTCGAACGCGTCTCATGTGAATGTCGCAAATTATGGCATCTGCTTTTTTTCTGTCAAGGATGCATGGAAGATCGCGTCTTACGAAATGCTTCCCGAACCACACATTGCTCCGTATGTTCGTCGCGTTGCAAAATAAAGATATATGATATATCGTATTATATGTACTTGTATACAGGATACTTTTGTTAAAATATAGAATGTTATAAAAATATTACTTAACAATAAATGTAAAAATTCTTTTTTTAAATGAGAGAACAAATTAAAATCTAATTTATATGCACATTTAACTTATATTTTTGCTTGATTTCTGTAAAATATCGTACAACAATCTCTTAATAATCTATTATATAGTTTTCTCCGAATATTTTATTGTGCACTTACATACACGCACACATTTATTACGTTACCTACTTTCATAATAAATATATTATTATAAATAAACACTAATAAAATAACTTTGTAAATGGTTTGTTACAAAAACGGCTATGTAACGACATGATCGTTAATTTTGTTTAATCCTTCTTAGCAGTGCAACCATTAATATTCAATCAATGAGTAACGTAGTTATTAATAAGAAATACAAGTTCGATAATCCGTTGTTACAAAACATGTAATATAACTGGCTAGATGTTAAAACCAAGACTTTTTATTGCCATACATTTTTCGTATGTGAATATTATTCGTGATATTAAATTCTCGATAATACCTTGATGTTGTTTCTTCTTAGCTATTAACAGCTATTTCTGATCCTTGACATTTATTTTTAATAGGAAAGATTATATGAGTTTAAGTAAATTTGATGACGCATGTATTCTTACGAATTAGGATCCAAGAATCAAGAATAATATCCACTTGTCCCCGAAAATTATAAATATAATTAAGACCTATTTTTTAACAAGTTTTTGATGAATTAAAAATTCTATAATTCTTATAATTTAAAATTCTTTTACACTTTATTTACATTTTGTAAAATTTTAATTTATATTTTAATTTCTACATTAATTTTATTTCATATGATAATTTATACATAATATGTAGTATATATATTTTATTTAGCAAACCTGTGTATTTAACAACATATTTTATTATTTATTTTATGTGGTATTATATTAATGATATTTTAATACAAACTCTATATAAACTCATATAGAAAGTTTTTCTTGTTATATCTTGACATCTTTAATTATAATAATAAAATTTGCTTTCACTAAAACGACATTTGTAACGTTTTCTAAGGGATCTCTTTATTTATACGCGTGTGCAATTTTCTCGAGAAAATCTGTACAAAGAAATTTTACACCTTTGACGATTACCTCGCGATTTTTGTTCGAGACTCTGTTGGCTCTCTTCCGCGTGTCCGTTAAGGACAATCGTGTGATGAAAAATTTCAACGCTCGATTACGTTACGCAAGAAACATTTTGCACCTTACACGATCCATCCGTTGATCCAATGAGAAAAAGGCCATTGAGGTCCATCTTGCTGATCGACCAGCATCTTTCGCGGCCTCTCGCTTTCTCCAAACATAAATGAAGCGTTTAAGAATGCTTCGTAAGAATGATCGATTGTTTATTTAATTTGCATAAATCTTTAGTGTTTTCGTGCAAATACTAAACAGGATAACGAACACTATCAGGTGTTAGCAGTTATTATATGCTCTGATAATTATCCTACTTATTAATGCAGCAAAATAATCGTTCACGATACACTAACATACTCGTATTCATAAGATTTCGAAATTAACTTTTTTATTCTACTGCATTTTAAATTTAAATGTGATTCTTCAATAAATATCTTGAGAAAGAGCAATTTTCTCTTTCTTTAAGTCTTTTGAGCATTCTACAGTTGCAAGAATATGATGATTACTCATGTGTTGTCACTGGTAAATGATTTGCAAATAAATTCCATCATAAATTCCGTCAAAAGTAGCTTCTGGCATTCAACAAGGAAGAATTATACTGTGAAAATCATGATGCCATTTTTCTCACAAAATAGTATGTTGTTTTGCAGTTGCAAAAAACTTTACAAGAAAGTTGTTTATATAAATTTCTTTACATTTACATAATTATAATCCGCATAATCTCCCCAAAAATGAATAAATTTACGTTACAATAATTAATTATTATTATTATGTTTAATTATTTTGAAACGAGTAATCAAATTATAAATTTACTAGAAACAAATATAAATTTTTATTAGTTTATTTGCTCATTAACTTAAAGCATAATATTATTATAATAAATACGGCATTATCTGAAAATTTTCGAACAATAATTAAACACGAAAAAATAATACTTTGTATTTCACGCGAAACTTTTATGATCATCGTCAAATAGTACACAATATATATATATATATATATATATATATATACATGTATATACATATATATTATATAGCTAGTAAAGATTGTGTATATCTTGCGGCCGACATACGTTATGTAAGACTATCGTGAGTGAGGCATGAAAGATTATCCCACGTAGATGATCTTTAATGAAATGTATTACGATTGTATGTGAATTGCTTAACTGATTATTACGAAAAAGAAAAATTAATTTTATTATTTTAATCGATGCTATCATGTCTCTTCTTAAAATAATAAAATTATCCAGAAAATTTCAATGCAAAAATATTTTATAATGTTTGTGTCTATTGTTATAATATTGAATATTGATTATAAACGTAAAAAATATAATAAAGGAAAAAATTTAAAAGGATAGAATATCTAATATTATTTGGAATTGAATTATAATAAAAATAATGTTACAGGTGAAGCAGATTTGGCTGACTCTTCTTGTATACGTGCTCTCCACGTATCATGCAGATGCAAATCGTGAGAGAAGCAAACGTGCGATAGAGGATAACCAGAATAAATATCAAAATTTTCTGGATTCCGGTGGATATGTTTATCCAATCCCGAGTAATCAACTATCGTATACAACGTCAACACAAAAGCCAGATGGATATATTTATCCAATCTCAAGTAATGAAATATCGACTGGAATATTTACCAAAAAACCAGACAGATATACAACTTCAAGTATTAAAATATCAACAAAAAAGCCAGATGGATATAGCTACATAACTCCGGATGTTAGAATATCAACGCCATCACCATTTGTCACTGCAACACCAAGTGAATATAAAACAACACATATATTGCCACAAACTTCAACTAGGCCACCCTATGTACCACCAGCATCACCTTCAACTAGGCCACCTTATGTACCACCATCACCACCTTCAACTAGACCACCTTTTATTACTACTAAATCAGATGGATATAGCTACATAACTCCGGATGTTAGAATATCAACGCCATCACCATTTGTCACTGCAACACCAAGTGAATATAAAACAACACATATATTGCCACAAACTTCAACTAGGCCACCCTATGTACTCCCATCATCACCTCCAACTAGGCCACCCTATGTACCCCCATCATCACCTTCAACTAGACCACCTTTTATTACTACTAAATCAGATGGATATACTTACACGAGACCAAGTGTTAAAATATCAACTATACCACCAACAAAAAAGCCAGATGGATATAGTTACATAACTCCGGATGTTAGAATATCAACGCCATCACCATTTGTCACTGCAACACCAAGTGAATATAAAACAACACATATATTGCCACAAACTTCAACTAGGCCACCCTATGTACTACCATCATCACCTTCAACTAAACCACCCTATGTACCCCCATCATCACCTCCAACTAGGCCACCCTATGTACTCTCATCATCACCTTCAACTAGACCACCTTTTATTACTACTAAATCAGATGGATATACTTACACGAAACCAAGTGTTAAAATATCAACTATACCACCAACAAAAAAGCCAGATGGATATATTTACAACATTCCGAATGTTACATTACCAACGCCAGTACCTCCAACTAGACCACCTTATGTACCACCTCCAACTAGACCACCCTATGTACCATCATCTTCACCTCCAACTCGACCACCTTATGTACCACCATCTTCACCTCCAACTAGACCACCCTATGTACCACCATCTTCACCTCCAACTAGACCACCTTATGTACCACCTATAACAGCACCATCTGTAACAAGACCAGCCTACACATATCCACCTCCAACTAGACCACCCTATGTACCACCATCCTCACCTCCAACTAGACCACCCTATGTACCACCATCCTCACCTCCAACTAGACCACCCTATGTGCCACCACCTTCACCTCCAACTAGACCACCCTATGTACCACCACCTCCACCTCCAACTAGACCACCCTATGTACCACCACCTTCACCTCCAACTAGACCACCTTACGTACCACCATCCTCACCTCCAACTAGACCACCCTATGTGCCACCACCTTCACCTCCAACTAGACCACCCTATGTACCACCACCTTCACCTCCAACTAGACCACCTTACGTACCACCATCCTCACCTCCAACTAGACCACCCTATGTGCCACCACCTTCACCTCCAACTAGACCACCCTATGTGCCACCACCTCACCTCCAACTAGACCACCCTATGTACCACCATCACCACCTGTAACTCAACAACCCTATACTCGACCACCACCACCTCCTCCAACTAGACCATCTTATTTACCACCACCACCACCTTTACCTCCAACTAGACCACCCTATGTACCACCACCTGTAACTCAACAACCCTATACTCGACCACCATCATCTTTTCCAACTAGACCACCTTATGTACCACCACCTGTAACTCAACAACCTTATACTCGACCACCACCACCGCCACCATCTCCTCCAACTAGACCACCTTATGTACCACCATCACCACCACCCTCACCTCCAACTAGACCACCCTATGTACCACCACCTGTAACTCAACAACCCTATACTCGACCACCACCATCTCCTCCAACTAGACCACCTTATGTACCACCACCTGTAACTCAACAACCCTATACTCGACCACCACCATCTCCTCCAACTAGACCACCTTATGTACCACCATCACCACCACCCTCACCTCCAACTAGACCACCCTATGTTCCACCACCTGTAACTCAACAACCCTATACTCGACCACCACCACCGCCACCATCTCCTCCAACTAGACCACCTTATGTACCACCACCACCACCTTCACCTCCAACTAGACCACCCTATGTACCACCACCTCCAACTAGACCACCCTATGTACCACCACCTCCAACTAGACCACCCTATGTACCACCACCTCCAACTAGACCACCCTATGTACCATCAGCACCATCTGTAACAATACCAGCCTACACACGACCACCATCACCTCCAACTAGACCACCCTATGTACCACCACCTGTAACTCAACAACCCTATACTCGACCACCGCCACCTCCTCCAACTAGGCCATCTTATCTACCACCACCACCACCACCTTCATCTTCAACTAGACCACCCTATGTACCACCACCTGTAACTCAACAACCCTATACTCGTCCACCACCACCGCCACCATCTCCTCCAACTAGACCACCTTATGTACCACCGTCACGACCACCACCACCGCCACCATCTCCTCCAACTAGACCACCTTATGTACCACCGTCACGACCACCACCGCCAGATTATGAAATTAAACCATCGATTACGGACGAGTCAACGAATCTTCCTCCTGAAGAACGAACGTATCTTCCACCACCGCAGCCGACAATTATCCCGGTGACAATTCCGCCGCCACCGTATCCTTCAGTCAATTATGAAACTACAATCAGAACGCCTACCCCGAAACCACCTAATGGAACGATTGCTCCACCGCCGACTCTGCCGCCACCCACCCAGCCCAGACCTTTCATAGGTTACGAATATGCACCACCCAAGGGACCAGCCTTTGAAACCCGCAAACGATGAGAACTGTTAACGTGTGTGATTTGATATAATCAGTGAAATGTGTGAAACTTAAATATCAGTAATATTAATATTAAGAAGAACATTATTATAACAAGAATTATTTAATGGCAAATGGTAGCGCTTTAAATATGGAAAAAAATATAAGTTTTTATAAAAATATTTGCATGCTTTCCGTCTTAACATAAAATGTATTTATATATATACATCGATACTGATATCAACAAAAAAAATATATTTAAGATTTAATATACGAATAGTATAAATCGGAAGAATTTTTCTAAAGCAAGAAAAAAATAATTAAAAAGTAATAAATATAAATTATGACTAATAAGTAAACATAAATTTTTAACGCATTATAATTTTCTTTCTAAAAAAGGCGTGCAAAGTGGATTATTGCAAATATTGTTGCTACTTTTCTGCGATGCTGATTATTGATTGCCTCTATTAACATTGCGTGTTATATTAATAGCATCACACAACTATTATTGTGAAAGTTAATAGTTTGACAGTTGTAAAATAAAAAATAAAAATAATATCAATAACACGCGCGAAGCGTACGCTTGTGTTGTCTGGTACATAACAAAAATTTAGAAATTAAAATTATATACATAATTAAAATTCAGCAGATTAAAATTATGTATGTAATAGACATTCGAAAATTAAAATTAAAATATAAAATATATAATAAAATATAAAATTAAAATAACTATTTAATATAATATAACTGTAACATTATTTATTACCTGCATTATTTTTTAATGAAAATTATTGAATTGTATTTCTCAAATTTGTATCAGTATTCTACTATTAGTTTACTATATTAACAATAATTTGCTATCATAATTAAACTTGATAACAAAATTGATTTACATATGTATGAATTGACACAATTACTTTTACTTGTAACTTCCTGTTGTATTAACAAATCTGCTTATAAATACTAAATTTATGTAGCATATATATATATATATATATATATATATATATTATTTCGTTTAATGTAACCAAATATAATTACGCTCGCAAAGCGAAGTTATATTATTCTTTGATAATAAAATCACAAAAATTGCGACGCTTGCATGCACAAATTATTATTGCAATCAATACATAAAAATATATTAATTAATTAGGCAACGCATAAAAATTCATTATTTAAATCTTTAACAGAAAATACGAACGAAAAAAATAAAATTTTCTACAAGAATCTTTTGTGATCAAATATGTACGCTTTTATTAAACTCGCGCAAGACTCTATACCCCACATATCCATCACGTTGCGCGGCTCGCGCGAGACTGATTCTTGTTCGAGGTATCGCGAGCGCGAAACTGAGGTCATGTGACCACTGATCATGTGACTACTGGTCATGTGACCACTGGTCATGTGACCATCGGTTCCGCGCTTGTGATACCCCGTACGAGAATCAGTCTTGCGCGAACCGCGCACCGTGATAGATATGTGGGTTATACTAATCTGATCATATAATCAGTTTTGCGCGAGCCATAAAGATTATTTAGTTATTTAGAAATAGACAATACAGATAAAAAAATAGACTTAACATTATTTTGTTAAAAAACTTAATTTATCATACGTAATTATAAAGAATAATGAACGCCTTATATTTTTTTTATCGCACCAAAAATGCATTGATAACGAATTGGCTCTGTCTTCTTTGATATTTCCGATTGTCAAACATAATATCTAAAACAATTTAAATACACATATGCATTAGCATTGTTAAATTAAATGTGTATACATTATCAGTACATCTTAATTACAGTTTTAATTTTTTTAATATAATTTTATATTAATAGTATACAAATTTTATACATCTAAAGTTTATATATAGATATAAATCCAAGAAATTATATACATATATACATACGTATTGTATATACATACAATATTCATCTCGAATGTCTCTCGAATAAAAATCGTATTTAAATTAGCACACAATTCGTTTAAGAATTGTCTAAGAATTTAAATAAAATAAGAGTAAAATATATGTCAGTAATAATATTAAAGTACGAAAATATGAGATATATAATTATATGGCATCTTTCGCATAAATACACATTTATGAATTTGAAAAAGCGCACTAATTTCTATTATAATATATATTTAATATGCCTATTTGATACATATGTATTTCTTAAACATAAGTATTCTAATCTTCTTTTTATGATATAATATTTTAATAAATCAGTATTTAAAAAAACATATATAGTATTTTTACAATATAATAATATAGAATATAATAATTAAGAATATAATATAAAATAATAATAATTTTTATTTATGTAGTTTACAATATTTGACAATAGATTTCTCTATAATACTGGCTCTATAATTCCACATGTTATCTCACATCCCTTTCTTCAAATCGCTTTCTATTAATCTTGATACGTGTGTAGACACTTGTGGCAAGGTGCACATCACCAACAAGAAATCGCACTGTTGCTTTGACGTATGAGCGAACAAAACTAGAGTTTTAGAAGCGTATTTAGCGGGTCAAGCACCGGAACGGTGAGAGATTTTCCCCTCGTGTCGTGCGATGTCTCAGCACTCGAGTCTGGCATTGAAGTAAGTAGCCCATAACCACCTGCCTTTTACTTACTGTAACGAGCCTCCCCCACGAACAAAGGAAATCTCCAACGCTCCTGATGGAATCTAATGAAAACTGCCAGCCGAGAAATGCACGATCGTTAGTTGCGTGAGAAACACCGAGAGAGCAACTCTATTTACGTGCTCTATATATCATCAAGCTACGGAGTGATCTTCTTTTTGTTTATCAAAATAATCATTCGTGATATTATTCGATGACAATAACGAGGTGAAACGAATCGACGAATCTCAGCGAGCCTCGTCGAGCATGTCAACGGTAAGCTGGCTTAGTTAAGAATGCCCAGTATCGTTAATGTGTAATCGTAAAGGACACTAGTCGCCAGATCTCTCAGAAGGCGATGCTTGAAACCAGCAGGAGATCCGCCATAAGTACGTCCGAGCTAGGTCTCTATTCTGATCGCAGTGATCGATACAACAGGAGTCGTTACAGCCTGATCGCGAGGAAATTTGCGATTGGAGTTATGGTGGTGGTAACAGTGATACTGGTGAGTGAGAGAACCGAATTACAAATATTAATTAATTACATTATATTATTTATTTTGTGTATGTATGTCGTTAGAAAATATTTTAGAGAGAGAGAGAGAGAGAGAGAGAGAGAGAGTACACACACAAGAAACCTAAGAAAACATATAAATTAAAAATAAAATTATTAATATTATTATATATTATATATTAATATATTATTTATTCATTTAAAAGTGTGTCATTAAATAATATCATTTAAGAATTAAATTACTTAATTGAATTTATATATGATAAATCTGATTGCAAATATTTGAATAAGTATCAAAGAGAATAAGAAATGCATAATTTAGTTTATTTTCTTTTAACGTTTCCATAATTTTATTATGATTATTTTCTCTATCTATAGTATTATAAAAATATATACAATAAAAATTACCGCTATTTTAAATTTCTTATTTACACAATTATTCTGAATTTGTTAAGTAATTATATGTTACCTAAGTTTAAATTTTTAGTAATAAATTCTGTCAATTATAAATATTATAGTTTCACAATAAATAGTTAAAAAGTAACGGGTATTTAATTAGATATTTTCTTACATATTTTAATAATGTATATCTTTATTCTCATAACGTTTATCTCGTAATTATGCTTGTTATGGAAAATCAATAACGATGATCTAACGCGATAAAGAATCGCGTCAATACTGTAATATATCATAAATAGCTTATTAAAGTCTCATTAAATTTCTAGCAATAAGCTTAAGAACATAGAACAATGCATTTTACTTGAGTAAATAATGCAATAATTAATATTACTCATCCGTGTACACATTTTATGATTAATCATTTTGCTACACATTTCATTGTTACACGAACAATGACCTTATACGACAAAATGTCCTGAAAATGACGTATCCTATTTTGCACGATTTTGTTGTATGCGTCAGAAAGACATGATAATTAAACAAAGTGGAGTTTTTCGCTGGTTTCTTCCACGCGTCAGAAACAATAGGCATAATTACACTTCGCACGTTTTCTCCGGTGATTAATGTCGGAGGCGTGTGTGGAATTGTAATTTCACCGTGAATCTTTGAGTATCCCTTACATGCATGGCAAACCAAGCGAGCAAGAATTTCTGCGTGCTCCGCATATAGAGCGTTAACTATGTTTCGCATACGAATTAATAGTAGCGTCCGCTACTTTGGAAGAGGGTTAATTAGCAATTTTGTTGCTTCAGAAGCTCGACAAATACCGCTCGCGAATTTATTAATTAATTGTGGTTCGCAATCTCGCAATTCATCGCTGTTGCACTTCCTCGATTAAATCGAGTTGGACATCGTGATTTCATTATCAGTAAGAGTTGGCACTCTCGTTAGAAAGTAGCGCAATGTCAATTCCTAGTTCACTAAAGTATCATATAGAACTTATTAAATGTTTATTCGATTTTCTATAAATTTTCTAATATCATAAAAAAGCATCATTATTTTATTTACATAAAATTATTATCCAATTGTATTTTAAAATGTTTTAATAAATTTTATAATCTATATATCTACATATTTACATATTGTCAAATATTATAAGTGTTACAAGTGTTATTAGTGTTACAAGTAATTCGATTTAAATTATTTTTAACACCATCGTAGGTGGCGATATTCACGTACGATTTTACGTCCGCCACATCGGTAAACAGTAAAATCAATCAGGAAACAAAGCACATATATATACTACAGAATGCTCTCAAAAAGTCACCGAATCTTGCGAGAAAGTCTGCAAATTCCACAATCCTATCCGAAGCTATGGTCCATCAAACGGACGCCTTTTACATGGAAGATCGTTCGGATGACGAAAAGTTTGATGATTTTATGCAACAAAATGCAACGAGCGATATAATGATGGACGAACCTAGCATGACGGATGAACCGGAGATGAGAGCGCAGAATTTGCATAACTTCAAACAACGGAAGAGAGTGCTGAAATCTGTTGAAGATGCCAGGGAAAACGAGGAAGCCGAGGCCAAACAATTGTTCGACAATCACGCGATCGTTTATCGAGTGAGACAAAGGTGAGCGACACTTCGTCGTGATCGACGCCTGTGATTATTTTAAGTAGCGTGTTCGATTTCTCCGATCATCATTTATCAAAAGAAACAAATATCAAAAGTCAAAGATACTTCTGACTTAAACGACGATCGGCGAATTGTGCGCGATGTTGATGACCTTTGTGTGAAAATTAATACATTTCGCGCGGACGTATCGCTCCTTTCATCATTATTATCGAAAATAATTAACTGCGATGCGCTATCAACATTTCTACTTGCGAGTAATACTTTGAATGTTAGATAACATTACGCAATCGCGCGTAATAAATCACTTCTTCAAACTGCACAGAAATTAATAATGTTGTTTTTGATGACATATACTTGTAATTTCATCACAATGTTTAAATGTTGCAAAAGAGAATATTGTTGCGAGAATTTACATCTCAGATAATTTTTTCAAAAAATTGTTTCATCTTATACATGAGATTGTCATTTCGCTAGATATAAACATCCGAATTTGGAAGACATGAACACGGAGGAGAGTCGACCGATACCATTTCACTGGGAGTTCAAAACGCCGCAACCGGCATCATTCAAACGTCCGAGATATCCGCAGCTGTCACAGTACCGATACCCACACTCTAGAAACATACAGGACATCATAAAGTACTTGACGAATAACGCCGAAATGCCAAAGCGCGGCCTCAAGTTTACCGGTGTCTACATGAATCCAAAAAAATATGATATGATCCCTGCCATAGGAGAGATGATGTCCAATAGCGATAAATTCGAGAATGAAGATACCACCCCTTATTCACATACTAACGATCCGTTTTATCAGTACAAACCGAAACACCCGGCGGACGTTAATCTCTTAGCCACATCTAACGTAAGGTTTGTAACTAACTTCGAAATTTATATATTATAATGCGTGAAAAGAAATAGTAAAAACTGCAAAAATTAATTGTCAAATCTATCTTTTGTCCTATAACATAATTATGATATAATTATAATATTAGTATGTATATTTATTTATATTATTATATATTATAATATAAAATTCACCGTAAATATATATTTCTACAAATAGAAAAATCAGATTATTCATTAATATAAAACGTTCATTTATTTAACTTGAATATTAAATCAAATAATTCTCTTTTAGATTCTCGCCGTTTGGAGTACATCGTTACAGTCCTTACTATGATTCTTTCTACTCTCGACCCTCGTTCAGTTACAACAAACCGATCATGATGGAACCGCAGTACGAAAGCCTCGGTTCCTATTCAACGAATAGTTTCGCGAAGAACCGCAAACCAAAGCCGTTCAGCGTGATGCTCGATATTTATCCCATTACCGATATCATGGAGCAGAATAAGAAGGCATCGTGGTCGAGACCGCAAGGATCTGCAGATGATTATGAGTATAAAAGACCCTTTCAGTATACCCGGGGCCCGAAATTTCACCCATCGTCTCCGCAACCGATTCCTCTTATAGCTATACCCAGCCCCACGACTATATCGGAAGAAGAGGAAAAGCAGCAAATGGTATTTCATCTGAATCTATATCCTCGAAAAAAGAGTAAACTCAACAGGTATGGATTCTTAATGATTTCATTTTTTTTTCAACTCGCTTGTTAATTAAGTTTACTTTGAAAAGTCGATACTTTAAATTTGTCCCATCTCTAATCGTCATAAATTGATAATTGTTTTGTTTATTTTCTATTGCTTTATGTTTAAGATAGAAAAATTAAGAAGAACAAATGCTCAATTAATGCAAATTTTTAGGCACGAGATCATTCATAGATCGGAATCCATGGGAACTCAGGAGCGACAGCAATTCGCGAACAAAATAATGTCTCCATTGGAATCGATTGCTAAACATTTGACTGATCATTCCGCGATCGAGGAATCAAAGTTCGAGGAAAGTCAAAACTCGGAAACGACCAGTATGCCAATAACGCGATATCATGAGATGAACCTAGAGGAGAAACGTGAAAAAAATGGAGATCTTGTGTTAAATAATTCCGAGTCAGACATTTATTCGGATAACGATGATAGTATCGTTGGGGATACCACCATGTTTTCGAATCATAAAATAAGTCTAGATGAAGATTATGCCAGCACGGAGAAATATGAAATAAACGCGCAAAAAATGATAATGAGTACGGAGAAGAATTTCATAAATTGCGATAATGCAACGATGCTTGATTGTTCGAAGGCCAACGAGGATAAAAACGCCGATACCATCGAAAAATTTTAATACTTCACGATCTTCTATGCTGAACTTGAATTAGAATTGAATTAGATGTGAGAATTAAGAGAATTGAGAGTCGAAATGCTTTGTCGAATATTTTTTGACATTTTTGATGATCTATTCTAATATTATAGAAACAAAATATGAAGATACTTTATGTCATTCTGTTTCATTTAAATCATTCAAAGTACTTTTATATACCATGCAATTGTTTTTGTATCTTGTTTGAGAAATATATTTTTGTAATATATATATATATATATTTATATTGTAAATTTTGAATTATAATTTGATTATCGACATTTATATTATTTTAGAAATAAGATCTTAGATATATCCAGTAACGTTAGATCAGGACACGTTAAAATTAAATTATGCAAACTTAAAAAATGTGTATACATATTTATTATCAAGTAGTGTATAAATATTATAAAATGTACAATTTTATTTTATCTTAAATAGGGTATTATATTACAACAGAAAGACCGCTTGCGGTTTTTTTATACCACAAAAGTATAATGCTTGAGTATAAAATATACAATCTCGCGAGTTAGTAATCTTAAAATTACTTATAAATAATATTGTCACATTTTACACATCATATACTTTGTTATATTGCATCGTAAATCGCACTTACATTTTTATATTACAAATATAGCACCATCAATTCATTTGCTTGTTCAACTGTTTGTTTAACTAGTTGTTTTTAACTGTTAGTTTATAAATTATATAATGCTTTAGTAATTTTGTATCTTTTAATGCATCTTTCATCGAACATTACCGTCATCTTCAAAAAGTCACTAAAATCATATACACGATGCATCATACACGCGAAATAGTTTAGGAACCACTATTTTTAAGATAATTTTTAATCGATTTTTTCTTAGCGATAATTTCCTCTTTTTAGTTCCAATTTAAATATTTTAATAAGCATATATCTTAATCAATATATCTTTCGACAAAACAAAATTTTGATTATTGAATTAATTGTGAAATAATGTTCTATTGTTCATATTTGTTTCTTGCATATAAACTTGATTGTTTAGTTATTAAATAATTTACTAACAAACAATTAAAAAAAATGTTACCTAAGAAAAAGTCGATGTAATTTAAATCTCTCCGAATCTCTCACGTTCTCGAACCCAGCGTGCTTGGATGATAAAGCGTCGTGTCGGCTCCCCATTCGTACGGGCCCTCATGTGGACCCATGGTGACCATGGTTCCTGGACCCAAAGTTGTGTGAGATCCAGCACTGACCATGGCAGGTCCGGAAGATACGTAACTAAGAGGCGGTCGTGGCTGATCGCGCAAACGCGCATGTTTTACTTGTCTCTTATATCTGAAAGAGGAACACAAATTGCGACATTTTCGTTCCGTGACCTCCTTTCTAAACGATGTTAAAACGTATAACAAAAGACAGTGTGTAGGCGATCTTAACGCGTTTACAACCAGGTATGTTGTAAGTGACGAGAAATTATTCTGAGAGATCAGAGAACACAAAGCAATAAAGAAATAAAATAAGTTATTATTGATAAAATTAAAGGCTGTTATATATATATAGCTTCTGTATTTGTTATAAATATTATTCTGTCAATATATATACATACGTATATGTAGAGTTAATAAATTATTGCAATATTGTAAAAAAATTAGATTGATAAAAAATCCCTAACATAGCAATAAAAGCAGAATGCATTTTTCTCGAAAAATAAAATAACTTTACTTAAAGTAATTTTACTTATTAAAATTACTTAAAGTAATTTTAATTTAGAGACTTGCGTTGTTAAACTATTCACTTTTTTTATTGTTAACACTTACTTCGAGTGCATGCAGCACAACGTGCAGCTGGAGATTATTGTCGCAATTCCAACGAGGACCGCGATTGCCAGGACCCATATCTGCGTCATGGAGGCGTCAGCTCGCGCCACTATAGCAGCGCAATGCTGTACCTTTTCCACGTGATATGCCTTGTATACCTTCTTTAATTCTTGGTTCTTTGGGTCGGTCAGTAACGTTCGCATCTCGTCCAGGTCGTAGGACTCCTTGCCAACCATCTGAAAGCACGAGCTGGTCGACGAAAAGTCCAGGGAATTGTCATCTTTCGAGTAAAACTGCGTATCATAAACGTTGACACTGATAGGTAGCGAGAGAGCCTGCTGGACCGCCTTCTCGAACTCTTCGAGTGTCTTCCTGACCTCGACCGGCGGTTTCGAAAATACGAACTTCAACATGTCGCGATCGCGCAGCAAGAAAATGCGCACGGTGATGTTGGTCTCGCGTCCTGGTGTCATTGAGTTGTTGGCTGACATGATCATCTCCATGAAGCCATCTGCGTATCCCGCCATAGATCCCGTCGTTCTGAGTTCGCCAGTGCGCGCGTTTAAAGATAACTGCGACGGTATCTCTTTCTGCGACATTGCGGGATCAACCAGGGACGTGAAGGAAACTTTGCTCATGTTATAGTTGATGAGTAACGCACTGGAATCAGCATCATAGGCTTCCAGAGTAATGAGACTGGTGTCGATGGGCACATTTAGGCGAACGCCCAAGGTCACGTTGTCTTTTTTGAAACGCGGCTTATTATCATCGACGTCCAGTACTCTGACAAGAACTTGCCGCTCAGAAGGATCCTGTCTGTTGTACGGTTTCGGCACCACGTCCGACTTCTTGGAAGAGTACTTGAAACATTTGACGGTCAGTAGATGAAACTCATTGGTTTCTCGATCGAGACGACCGTTCGATTTGATGACGGCCGAGTTGTTCTTCAGCCGCTCCACCACGAAGAGTCTCGCCTCGTTTCCATATACGATCTCGTAATCGATCATCCCGTTTTCACCAATGTCCTCGTCGATCGCCTCGATCACGCCGACCTTCGTGCCTACCGGCATCTCTTCCGGAACGCTTAGTTCAATCGGCGGACTATCGAGATTGCGCTTAAAGTGTGGCTTGTGATCATCGATGTCGTTAACGATCACCAGGAGCACCCTGGTCGCCTGTTGCGGCGGCTCGCCGAGATCTTGAGCGACTAGGATCAGCGTATAGCTGTCCTTGGTCTCTCGATCGAGCAGCTTCCGCGTGCTGATCAGCCCGGTGTCGCTGTTGATTCTAAAGGCGCTCGCGTCTTTGCCGAAATTGCCGTCTTCCAAGAAGCGGAAGGTGATCCTGCCGTTCGGCAGATTCGGATCGTCGGGATCGGACGCCACCACTTGGAAAACTGGACTTCCGATCGTGGAGTTCTCCGCGATATAGGCTACTTCTTCTAACGTCGGTCGGATAAACAGCGGGACGCCGTCGTTGCTTACCACGTCTCCGATGTACAGGATGAGACTCACGTCCGAGTACAGAGCCGGATCTCCGCCATCCTGAGCTCGGACTCGCATATTATACGGTTCGGTTCTTCCTTTGCCTGTCAATGCTCGGGCCGAGTAAATCTCGCCGGACGTGTGATTAATTTTAAATAGACCTAGAACCGCAATTCGCAATAAATATTTCGTTTGTTATCTTTTTTTAAGTTGTAAAAATTTTGCTTGTAATTTTTTTATATAAGGTGTTCTTTTTATAAGATGATTCTATAATCATTATGTTATCCTTTATATATTTTAAGAATATTAAATTCTCATCATAATTAAAAGATGTTAATCTCACCATTGGCTTCACTTTCGTCGATGATCTCGAAGTAAATTATCCCGCCTTCATCTTCATCCGGATCGGTAGCCGTGATGTTCACCACGCTAATTTTCACCGGTGCGTTTTCCGGTATCACCGCGGTGTACGATTCCTGTTCGAAGCTAGGAGCATTATCATTCACATCGAGAACATCGATCGTCACCAAAGCTCGACTGCTTCGTTGCTCGGCTCCACCTTGTGGCATATCCGAAGCCACAACGTAAAAACGCAGTACTGATTGTCTCTCTCTATCGAGAGTCGTGTTCGTGGCGATCTGTAAATTTCGGTAAAAAATATAAGAACTAAGAGACATCTAAAAGATATTTAATAAATTAAGGCACCTTCGAAAAATGTTTCCGATTTTTTAAATCTTAAATATGTTAATTTTTAGATTCAAATATTTTTAAAAAATAAGATATATTAATTGAATATTATCGCCTTTGAATGTTTTATGTATAAAGAATTTTAATTAGAAAATTATTGAAGATAATTACAAGATTATTGAATTGATTATAATAGATAATATATAAAAAATTATTAAAGATAATTGAAAGATTTTTACCTGAATGTTACCCGTTATAGGATCCACCTCGAAAAGATTAGCATTTTCACCAGTCAGGGAGTATCTGACTTCACCGTATCCTCTTTGAATTTCCTGCTCGGTGTTAGAACTATCCATATCCGTCGCTTTGACATTCAGCACGATCATCGAAGGTTTCATCGATTCCAAAATAGAAATCTTATAATCCTTCTGACCGAAAATTGGACTGTTATCATTAGTATCCTGTATATCAACAATCACGTTGGCCTCCGACATCTTTCGCGTTATATCATAATCTCTAGCGAGTGCTCGCACTTTGAAGCGAATAAACTGGAAATTAAATTAAAATTTTTATCTTAATTTTATTAGTAATTTATTTTAATAATTATTATTTCAATTCTATTTTCAAAATTTTAATTGCAAAAAATTTTTCAACAGTTTCCACAGTTTCTCTATTTAATAAAATAATATTGTCAAGATTATATTTCTCACCTTCTGATTTAATCCTTCGTAATCCAGCCTCTTGCTCAGCACAACGTTGCCACTCTGAACACCCACATTGACGTAACTTTCGTCATCGTTCTCTCTTACTAATTCGAACCTCTGAACCGGATATCCGGTCGTCGGCTCTTTTGCCGATAACATCAACAACGTTGTGCCCAGGGGTTGCTCCTCCGGAACTGTGATCTTTATCGTCGGATTGTTCGCCGACCATCCAGGATTCGTGAATGTTGGATTGTCGTCGCTGTAAGCTTGAATGTAGATGGTCGCCTCCACCTTTGCCTCTTGTTTATCTTTATCGACGACGGCATTTAAATCCCGCACCTGCACCGTTAAAATTACAACAGCGGCTACTTGATAATCCAACATCCGGTTAACAGTTATCAAACCGGTGGTAGAATTTATACGAAATGCTGTTTTGTAATCGTAAGAAATTGTGCTCTTTAAGGCTACGCCGGTCTTATCGACAGCTCTTATCGGTTCCACTATAGAATATTCCAAATTTGCATCTGTGTCTGGATCAGTCGCCGCTACTTTTAACACAGACTCACCTGCAGTAAAAATTTTTATAAAACAACAAAACCGTCATAAGTTATAAACAATAAAAAATTTTAAATGAATCTCAAATTTTTAATTAATGTGCAATCTATTTTATATGTAAACAATTTTTAAAAACACTTAATTTTAATGAGGACTTCGATATAAATAATTCGACTATTATTTAATACAAACAGATATATATATATATATATATATATATATATATATAAAATTGAGTCTAATAAATATATTTATTAGTAACATACCGATGCTTGCACGTTCTGAAACATAAACCAGATATGTCGATTCGTTGAACGTTGGTGGTTTATTATTTACATCGATGATGTTCACTGTCACAGTGGTAGTTGCAGTTTCCTTGACAGGTGTACCGGAATCAACGGCATATACGATGACCTCGTATTTTTCTCCGCCGGTCTCCAGATCTAAACGTGCGTCAGGTGACACAGTTATAATGCCAGAACTGTAATTAACAAAAATTCTATTCACTAATGACATAAATGAATAAATCTTTATCTCAATGTATAATATATTTTACCGAATCTTGCCAATTAAAAGATAGCGAGAAACTAAGTACTTGAATTAACTAATTAAAATTGATACCACACCTGGAATCGATGACAAAGTTATCTTTAGAACCGGATGCAATGTAATATTGCAGCAAGTTGTCTCTTCCATCGGGATCATTCGCGACCACTCGAATGACTTCCGTTCCGGGAGACGCGTTCTCCAAAAGCCTCGCTCGATAAGTATTGGGACCTGGTAGATTCGATTTGTAATTTCCTCGGAAGATTGGTTTCTGATTCCCGGGAACACCAACGCGAACAAATAGCTTCGCCTCGGAGTACAACGGCGGTGCTCCGACATCTGTCGCATGAATCGTTAATTCATAAATGCCCCTTTCGGTGTCTCCGGAACGAACCGGTTTCGACATGGTTACTTCACCCGAATCTGGATTAATCTGTAAATTTTATGTTAAAAATAAAAACAGTAAATAAAAAATATTAAATTTTTAATATTAATTAATATTATATTAAATATTACTCTTTGAATAAAGGATTTTCTTATTAAATATTTTAAATATAAAATACATTTATAAATTATTAATTATCAATTAAAAAATGCTTTGATAACAAACCTTGAAGACTTCGTCTGTCATACTGTTGTGTCGGCTGATCGAGTACAAGACCCTTCCGTTGCCTTGCATCGGTCCGTCAATGTCGGTCGCCCGGACAAACATTTGCGGGTCGAAGCTGGTAGCATCTTCGCGAACCGTCCTGGAGTACTCCGGCTGTTCGAACATCGGCTTGTTGTCGTTAACATCATCGAGCTCGATTAGGATATTGACAGCGGATACTCGACCGCCGCCGTCCTTCGCCTCCATCGTCAAAGAATAGGATTTTTGTGTCTCGTAATCTAGTTTCTTCGCCACAAAAATCCCACCTGCCTGCGGATCGGTCCTGAATTTGTCCGCGCCGAAACCCCGCAGCGTGTACGTTAATTCGCCAAAGGAACTGCTGTCATAATCGTTCGCGTAAATGTCACTAAAACGAGTGCCAGGTTCCGCGTCTTCCGAAACTAATAGTTTGTAGACCGATTGAGAGAACTCGGGGCTGTGATCGTTGGCGTCTAAGAGCTGAATGTGCACCCTGGAGGTTGCCACCTGCAGCATAAAATGTATTGTAAGAAATCGTATTCGGCAAAATGATCAGCGAGATATTTTGCACAGAATAACATTGTCTTAATTACCTATTTGCAGTTAAAGTGGAAAATCTTATTAATAAATAAATAAATATATTTTTTATTAATTTATTAAATTATTTACATATTTTTATAATTCTATCTAAAAATGTTTAATTATAAAAATCGTAATTAAAATTGTGCTGACCACTTCGCTAGCTACAGAAGCGACGACATCAAATTCGAGTTCCCTTCTCGTGGGATCGTCAACGTCGTAGTCGAGAACATTGACGTCCTTAGCCTTGATCACTACTGGTACTCGACCTTGAGCCTCTTCGGGGCTGACAGTAAATGCTTTGCTGATTCCAGAATACCTCGGCACATCTCGCAACGTCAGGAAATACTTTGCATTGTCGCCCACGTCACCGTCGCTCACAATCATATTCAGACCTGCTTAATCACCATGTTGTCAAACAAAAGATCTTCTTGAATCGTGGAAGAAAGAAAGATAGAAAGATGGTAAGGATTTTAAATTTTATTTTCATTAAATTTCTCTGCCTTCAATAAAAAAAGGTAACAAGTTGATAATGAAAAAATATCATAAGAATATTGACACATTTCTTCAAGCGTTTAGCGCGTTAATTAGATTGACACAATTTTTAAACTTAATAACCTGGTAGAGGAGTGTCCTTTCCGATGTCCTCGGAGAGCTTGATGCTAAAGTAATCCTCGTTAAAAACGGGCACGAGGTCGTCCACGTCCGTGACGACAATCGTGACGATCGATGTCGCAGTGTCAGCTGGTATCTCGTTGTTGATCAGTTCGGTGGCTTTAACTTGAAAGGTGTAAATGCCGCCGTTCTGTAAGATCCTGGGATCCTCGCGATCGAGAGATATGTTGGTCGTCACCAGCTTGCCTACTGTTACATCACCCTCGCGAGACATTTCGAGATCGAAGTGACCCGCGTCCTCATCTTCCAATGTCAACAGCAGATTCCTAGATTGGCCTGTATCACCGTCGCGAGCTCGCACTATCAGAACCGTGTGACTAGCTGCAGTGTTCTCCGGAAGCGCCGCGCTATAAGGCGCATTCAGGAAAATTGGTGGCTGATCCTGCACAAAAAATTTTGCTAAATAAATAAAAAATTCAAAGAAAAAATTGTTGTTGCCATTATAAATGGATTAAACTTTATTTTTTCTCTCATACCTTTTTTTATTCATAGATTTAATTTAGCATATTTATTTTTCTTTAATTTAAAAATTAATAAAGAGCAGGAATCACTAAAATATAAAATCAAAACATTAAATATATCTAATAGTGCCAAAAATATGACATAGAAATAAAACTGAAAGACTCATTACTTTAGAGCTTTAAATAAGCTCTAAACGCTATTCGCGAGGTGCGACCTAAATTTTCACTTGACAACATTCGTGCTGACAGGCAGAGATTGAATAACAAGTTGATGATTCCCTGCTAATTTTATCGCAAACGACGTTATTATCCAATGTAAGACCGCCGTCAATTATATACCGGTTATTTCAGTGATGATCGAGACCTACTTACCTGAACATCGAGGACGTCAACGGCAACGGTCGCTCTAGCCTGCAATCTTTTAGACGGATCACTAGTTCCGTCGACAGCCAGTAGATTAATTAAATATGAGTTCCTCCTCTCATAATCTAACGGTTTTGCTAGCGTGATCTGCACGTCGTATTTTCCCTCGGCGAGCTAAAAAAAGCCATTGCAATAGTAATGCACCGATGCATTTTAATTGTTCTCCTTGCGATAAAAAAATTTTAAAAAAATTTTTAAATATAAAAAAACAGATATAAATTCAAATATATATTTATATAATTAATTTTTTATTGTTCATAAAAAATTGATTATGTACCTTCTCCGTGGAGACGTCAAAGATCTCGCAGACGTCATCGTCGCGCGATGCCGCGACGCACTGCACGTGGACATCGGCATTGACACCACCATCTCGATCCGTGATGATGATCGTATTCTCAGGAAGCAACAAGCCACCCACGTGCGCACTTTCCGGCACTCTGGCCGCGTACGGACGGTCATGGTACACCGGAGGATTGTCATTTTCGTCCAACACCGCTATTTCGCGACGAAGAGACACCGTATTGGGTTCCGATCCGGCGATACCTTCGTCTGAAACAGACAAGTTTATTTCCTAATTTAAATCTAAATTGATTAAAATTGTTAAATTTTTCTTTCATTACAGATCAATGATATTGATAATTCCGTTCTAATAATTTAGATAGATATCTAATTAGCAATAAAGACATTTAATTGTACGTTATAAGTAGAGGCATGTAACAAATCTTATTAATTTTTTAAAATTATTTATGTTTATGCAAGTCTTATTTTAATTTTTAACTCTAATCAATTCTAATTCTTTTACTTTATGAGATTATTTGTATTTAAATTATTTATATTTATAAAAGTCATAAAAGAGAGAGATAAATATATCGAATGTTGATTATATTAAATAATAAATTAAATAACAGATTGTTATATATGTATATCGTTCTACCTGTTATACTGATAATGACTTCGATGAGATCTTGTGTCTCTCTATCCAAGGCTTTCCTCAGGATTACAACACCGGTCTCCCTATTCACGGTAAAATACTCGCCGCTGATCGAATAATGTAATTTAGATTCTTCAGGATCTTCTCCCTGAAGGGTGTAAACAGGAGCACCAGGCGGTGTGCCCTCTGACACGGCCAACCTGGCCATGTCCCCACCTTGAACGAAATGGGGCGCCCTGTTTATCACCTGACTCCATGACGAAGACCACGTGGAGATCAGTAACAACAAAATCGTCCACATCGTCACCTGCAAATTTCGTTTATTCGAAAACAGTTCTGATAATGGAGAAAACAATCTGTAAATTAAGTAACAAACGAATAAAAAGATGGTAAAATTTATTTAGGGCGGACACAATCACAAAAATCATAAAATAGAAATTAAATTTAAATTTACTATTCGAATATAAATCAAAACATGAAGAATTACATTTTACTCTATTTTTTATTTGATTTAAGTAGTAAAAATAAAATTAGAGATATCATGTCTATCTTAATTAAGGCAGAAAAAAGCTTATTTTTCAAGCAGAAATTGTTGAATACTGTGAAATGTTGCATCGAAGTTCGTCGAACCATTACTCAGGAAGCTACAATATTCGCATACAAACGAGTATTTATCGGAAATGGCAATCGCGTGAGTAGGATACAACAAGGTCCGAAGATGTTCTAGCCTCCGCTTAAATGCGTTCTTTTTAGCCGCTCTGCGAGAGAGAAAAGTCCAGCGTGCAGGCGAACCACAACCGGTATGCACTTCCGACAACCTTCGCGATATTGCAACTAGCCGATGCAACGTGGCGACGTCAGAATGCGTTTTTTCACGTTCGAGCGAAAGAAGCCGTTAGAAATCAGATTCCATTTCAGGTGTTCACTGAAGCCGTCCTGTTCGATATGTGAAAACGACTCGACGACGACGTGACTAAACCGAATTGCATAGATTTATGCCGGAAAAGGTGTGGAAAAGGTTTTCACCTCACAACTCCGAAAGAAATCTGACCGACGAACCGAGAAACACGAAGAACATTATTTTTTCATGCTGTTTTATGGAAGAAAAAATTATCTGCTTCGCAATCCACCTTTCTAGAAAATTAATTGTTACAAGAAAAATTATTTCTCTTTAGCTATAGAAACTTTAATTTAGGAAACAAAAGCTTCAACTTTCTAGAAATAATATAAAAATATAATATGACACAAAAATTATGTATTTAATATATTTTTTACATAAAAATATCTAAAAAAATGTTTTAAATAATATCCATACAAACAACTAATTAAATTTGCAAATAAATTCAAAATTAATATTAATAGAGCGAACTGCTATTTTGGATTATGATAATTGCTCGTTTCCTCAATTAATACTCCCACGCAGCGAGGAGACAACAGAGTATCGCGTTTAATCATTAATTCGCGTAGGCAGATAAGCGCGTCACGAAGTCATTAGGCACCAGGAAGAAATGACGAGCACACGAGCAACAATGACATACAGCGTGGGGTAATGGCTCTGCATTTCCTCGACGCCTTCGTGCGTGCAGAGTAACCTCGACTTCCGCGTTCAGCCGGCCGCGGCCGCCGTCAAGGATCGTCTCCAGAAGAAGTAATTATCAATCGAGCCGGAGGAAGGAAATTTACGGTTGCCGGCACTCTCTCGACTCCTCTTCCTCTCCTCGTACATCCTAAAAGCAGTTCTCAAACTGCAAATCCCTATTTATGCACCGGTCGAGAAGAAGCGTGATGTGCTGCAAAATGCAGCCTTCCGCAGCGAGGATGCGATTGCGAAACAACGTGCAGCAGCGAATTCATATAATAGAACAAAGCAGCGCTTCAAACGAATATATGATAGTGTCGATATGATTGCAAGTGCACGCATATGGCTCCTAGAGATCTGCGAACCTGACAATTATCTTTAATGACTGGATACTTTTTTATGTTGAGAAATTTTTTCTATTATATATTCTTTATAGTTTAAGCTTTATTCGAATGATGTCATAATATTTATGAAGACATATTACATCTAGCTTTCATGATTATTGCCTCATATCGTGTTTAGATAGATTACAATCTTCGGATTAAGTGAGTAAAATTGAAAATCAGGTAATTGTACTTAGCTTTAAATGCGCAACGAAAGTAGAAACCAGAAATTATCATACTCTAAAAGCGAGATTCCTGTGTATAATTAGACTTAATTGCTGAATGCAAGAAATAATGCACGTAGATTTACAGACAATGAAATAGCCTCCGAACAAAATGTCTATAAAGAATTAATACTTGGATTTATATGTTATATACACTTAAAATAAAATAAATATATGCTTATAATATATATAAATTTAATAAAAAATAAATAATATAAATAATATTTAATGAGATAAAATATCGAGAGTTTGCGATATTCATTTATTTGAGATAAAAATTCTGAAGACTTCTTATGCGATTGATCCAAAATAATCGAGGATATCAAGATTTCGTAATCGCGATTTTTATTTAGCTCTGACTTTGAATGATGTGCACTATTATTATTTCAGAGCAAACTCGGTTTCTCCGACACTATATTTGGAGCAATTTGTAAAGCTGAGAGGTGTGAAAAGTCCGTGACGGAGATAACCGAGTGCACATCGTAGATTACAACACGTAGAGAACCTTAAACAGAAATGACCGTTAGTGCCAGTCAAGTATAAAATGATACCGAGAGATTGAATGATGGCTCTGTGACCGCAGAGGTGCAGCGAAGTAGAAACCAATGTGTGCGGTTCGCATACTATCAAGTATTTAAAAATGAACGCTTGCGAAAGGTTACCGTGATATATATCGTGATTATTCTACATTTTTAATTATACCTTTTCACGACTTTATAACTATAATTTAATAACAGACAAATGTTACAATTAACTATACATGGCGATCCTGTTGCTTATGTATTTTTGAGCCTGCGAAATTTAAATCCATATGTATCGATATATGTATCGATATCTATGAAAAATGCGTTGTAGAGATAATATAATAATTGTTATTTAGTTTGTAATTTTTGTTAATAATGCTTCTTATTTTATATTTTTTTTATTATGAGAAACAGCAATATAAATCAGATTTAATATAATTATTTGTATTCTTTTTCAGAGGAATTTATTTATCGAAGATATTAGTAACCATTTTATATTTTCTTGTAAGTTGATTATTCAGCACAGAGAAATTTCTTCGGTATTTTAATAAGCATTCTACAAGAGGCAAGTTTCTACGAATAAAGATATGGCAAGTAATGTATTAATCATTTCTCTGGAATAATTTTTGTTAATTTATATCTGATGCATTCTTTTTCGTAGAATAAACATCTTCTCATCCGTAAAATTTTTTTCCGATGATGTATATAATTTTTTAATAAAATATTTTTCAAGAGAATATATGTCAATAAATTACACGAATAGCACACAATTTTATGTACATTGTAATTAGTAATTACTTTAATTTACAGTTTCAAAATTACATGATTTTTTGGAGATCTCCCATGTTTTTTATTCGCATAGAAATGAACAATGCAAGAATTATAATTAAAATTACGTAAGTAATAAGATTCAAATAGGCCCATTCTCGAGAAACGGGGAAGAGCAAAACAAAGAGAAAAGAAGTGGGACAGATCACAGGAAAGACAGAGAAAGAGAGACAGAGGCAAGGAGTAAGAGAGGAAGAAAAAAAACCGTTACACCCTTCTTCTTCTGGTCTCCGTTACGTTACGCACTTGGAATCTTGACACCGCGTGACCAGGTGAAGCCAGGATGAATGACGAAGAAAAGGAATATCCTGCTGCGCGCGCGCGCGTATCTTTTTATAGGTCTTCACTTTCATCAAGTATATTTTGCAGCAAAACAGAAGTTTTCTGAGTTCTTCAAGATATAATCAGTACAAACTATAGCTTTTGATTCAGGAAAAAATTACGGAAAAATAAGAAGTCTCCCGCTAATACGATTATTAGCGGAAATAAAAATGTCCTTGTTCTTTTGTGTGAATTATTACAATAATTTCGACAAAATTCATTTTGTAAGTGCTGGAAATCACGCAACTTTACATAAACTTGATATTGGTCCCTACAGGATTTAGTCAGGCTGCAAACTCGCTGGTCAGAACTGGTTTCCTCGCGGAATGGCGAAAAAGACGACAGGATTTCGTGGTCAGACTTACGTAGCTTCGCCAGATCTTTTTCAATTGTTTTCACCAATATTAAAAAATAATTAGCAATCCATCAAATTTTCAAAATTCAAACACAGTGCAAACTAATTTGATAGTGCAAAAATATAAGCGCAATAATCGATAAATTAATATGCATTATGCTACTTTGATGCATGGTTGATGAGATGTTTACTTAAAAATTAGACTTTTTAATCTATTGATTGAGGTTAATCGTTTTAATTAAACGCAATGCTGTGAAAACTTGATAATTCCTAGACAGGTTCTAATCTGGTCGCGCTACCACCGTTCTACGGGTATCGAACAAAAACGATGATACCGTTGCGCCAAGAAAACGTCGTCGGAACGAGGCGATATATCCTCAATCCACGACCTCGATTCCTCGATTTGCATGAGCATCGATTTACGTCGTCTTCAGATTTCGTGTCCTATTTTGATTCCTGCTTTTCTCTTACATCATGTTTTTATTATGCAATAAATTTGTAAAATAAAAAAAACTCCGATATTTAAATAAACAGAATAATTATTATACGCAGGACTAATAAATTTAAGGATACTGGAAAATCATATAGAATACATTTTAAAAATTCTGCTAAAGAGCTACAAATATCTTCTTTCTTTTCTGACATAGTGAAGATAATAAATATTTCTTCAGCAATTAAAGCAAAGATTAAAGTAACATCGGTTCAGCTCAACAATTTCAGCTCAAAATCAAGAGCTGATCCAACACAGACCCTTCATTATTTGAACAGTTTCTTCAAGCCAAAAGTAAACATCCGGGTCAACGTTTTCGACAATTAGCATCTGCTCATTGAGAACAACAAATCCAAAGGATTCCATCTCCAATCCCATTAGCCTCTCCAATAATTGACGAAACTCACCTTCCAAAGTCGCTCCGAGATCCCGCAGGCTGGCACAACACACAGTTTATCACCTCATCGTGTCACGACACCGCACGTGCCTATGTTCCTGCGCACTGCTCTCCGTGTATGTTCACTTAAACGTATCGGCGAAACCGTGTCGAATCCGCATGACGCACCTGCGGACAGGTAACTAAAAGGACGAGCGTACGCGAGCGTATCTCTCTACCCTCTCGGTCTCATCGGACGTCGGCGTCGTCTCGGACCGAAAAGAGACCCGACCGGTGTCTGCCAGCCAATGGACAGGTCTACACTGCATCCTAAGAAGGTATGTGGCCTCCACCACGGGAGTAGAAGGTACGGAGAGAGAGAGAGAGAGAAGCCGCGCGCTACAGAGTAAGGAAAGTCTATAGTCCGTACTCGGTTAAGTCCGACCGAGGACGACGACGACCCGAGGGGCAAATCTTTTTTCTCTTTCGTTACCCGGGGTGTCGAATGATTTAACCTCGTTCGATTTAACCTTCAACCGTCAGCAAAGGGTAGCGCAGAAGATCTTGAAGGGATTGCGTGGCTTGCGATTCTTCTAGGATTATAATTAGAATCAGAGAAAGTTTCCTTTTCTTCCGATTGACATTGGTTTTTTAAATATATTTATCTGAATATACATATATAACCGTAACAAATTTTTTATAATATAAATATTAATATTTTTCTTGTAAAAATTTTGAAAGGGTAGCACGTAGCACAAAAATTCTTGAAGAGATTATGTAGTTTACGAAATGGTTCTTCTATGATTACAATTAGAATCGGAGAAAATTCAGCTTTCTTCCGAGTGACATTATTTTTTAAATATATTTTTAAATGTACATATATAGCCATAAAAATTGTTTATAATATAAATATTAATATATAAATATTTCCATTAAATTTTTAATAATACAAAATGAATTTTATCTTAATTTTCCATGAATAAACAGGTTGGATTATCTATTGGATATTTTTGTGCTGTTTGTAATAAATTAGAATAAGTCATCTGGTTGACATGTGATTTGACAATAATGAGGTATAGCGTAAGTTATAATGAGGCTATAATGAGGATCGAATCGTTGATGAGAACAAAATTACATCATCAGTTTGCTTGGCATTTCGATCAAAGTAATCTCGAAAGCGCTGTGACCTTTTCTCTCAACATAACTCTCTAATTAATCTCTAAATGTAGATACCATCAGAGAAAAATCCTTTTCCCGAATCAAATTTATGTATATCGAAAATAAAAAGTTAATTCTGCCTTCATCATACAAACGCAAAAATAATTAAATCCATAATTGCTCCTTTAAAGAGAAACCTTTGTAAGAGAGAAACTAACATTTTTTCATTCAATGAATCATTCTACAAAAATGATATAATTATTTCCTTCCGGAATCTCTCTTAAACTTTGAACATTACTTTAAATCATAATGGTAAATGAACGAAACATTGCCACTTAAAATTAAAGTCATCGTCAGAAGATAATGAGGTATTATTATTAATTTGTTATTTAATTACATTAAAATATTAATTGTTATCGATTGATATAAGTTATATATTATTCAGTATTAACACATTAGCAATTAAATTCCAGTTTCGAAAATCACGTCTCGATGCAGCCTCGCAATCTTAAACCGCTGAACAGATCTCTCCCGCGAGTTCCCGTCCATCTCGTGAGAGAGATAGTCGAGAAGGCCAGGCCTCTACAAGCGAGTGTTTAAGACGTGCAGGCTATAAAAGAGCAACGTTAAAATGCCGAAGGCTCGGCAAGCCTTTATCTCTCTCCGTTCTCTCGCCGGTTTCTCCTTTCTCCCTCGCTCTTTCACAGCCGGTGGGGATAAAAAGGACGCGGAAAAGGGGTATCCGTGAATCGTGGCATGATCACGGGGAATAAGAATGACGAGAGAGGAACCGAGAGAAAGGCAGAAAATCAAGCAGGTAAGAGGAGGACCTCGCTAAGTGCGCGAGAAGGGGATTTGTACAGTTAGCAAAGGCCGCGGCGAACTCGCGGCTCCACCTTCGATAGAGTATCTATAAAGTCGGACAGAAATTGTTTTCCCCTCGATGTATATAACCGGAGCAACTCGCTGATCAAGATCTATCCTCGAGAGAGCTGTCGGAGATCGGGCCTAAGGACCGGATTCTGAGCCCCCAATCGCTCGCGTTTTAGCTTATTGGTGAACGGACACAGTTATTTCAATTTGTAGCCCGGATCTAGAGAGTCTTTTTAGAATGGAATACGAGATTGATCATTCGTGAGAAACGTGACTAATTAAAAAGAAATTTTAAGTATCGATGTTATACAAAATTCATTTCCACAATATTACATTCCGACCTATATATATTAGCTTATTAATATTGAGTTACATCGCATGATTCCAATAACTTATACTTTATAATTAAACGAGTAACACATATATATATACTAAAGTATTATGAAAGAAAATAATGCGAGTATAATTTCCATCTTTTAAATTCTCGAACGTAATAGCGAATCTGTAGCGAGGCTGGAGGAATCCAGAAGACACGTAACTCGCATCCGCGGGAGACGCGTCTGTACGATACTAAACTACACACGCGATAGTAAAACCATGAGCTCCATGGGAAAGATCGCGTCTGCGAGCATCATCTCTTGATTCAATTATCTCTTTCTCCCTCTCTCTGTCTTTCTCGTTCAGCGACTCGTAGACGTCTCGTTACGAGAGCATCCTGTTACGACTATGGGAAAACTCCCGTGATCTACATGAGGCACGCGGGTGTTGTCAGTTAGATAACCCACTTCTCACGCGCACCCAGTCGCTCACCAGGACCTTTTGCAGCGGCACGACTGCGATTCTTCTCGCGCAATTATTGCGATCGCGAACCCGAGGATCGCTATTTCGTGCGGTCCAACCAATCGCTCCCGCTGGATTGCCGCATATTGCCGCAACGCTTTCGAGGAAAAACGGAAAGTGGCCTAGTGAGCCTTCGTTTTCACTCGAACTAGGCGTGAATAATTGAATAACTCGGCGCTAGAAAGAAATATAATTCCGTAATACGTAGATATAGATTTTAGATTTTATCACTTTTCGCCTGCGTACAATGTGGATCCTTTACATTATTTTACATTCTGACACTAATGTTTTCAAGTAATTTTTTTTTTTTGTAAAACGCATGTCTAATTATGAAGAAAAATTACACAGTTTAGGACACAGCTGATTGTATGAATAGATCTTTGAAACAAATTATTGAATATTTGAATTATTACTCAATCAATTTCGCTCCAATGAAATAGTGTTGCTACAACTTGATAATAGTTGATCAATGTTGCAAAGTATATAAATCGACTTTCCGGAACTACTTTCGAATAAAACATCCATGTGTTTTGCACGTAACAGCTTTCTGTTTATTTATGAAGTATCATGACAGGCTATAATAAATTCGCTCGTTAACTTTCCTCGCATCATAGTTCAATGTATAAACTAATTGTTTTATGTTGGAATTTATATTGATAGAATATTCGATATTATAAATATTATCGCTAATTGTATTATTATATTAATTATTTATATATAAAGTAAATTGGGAAGATAAAAATTTCTTTTGTATTTTAATAAAATATATCATTTCTAAACATAAAAAGCAATAAGAAAAAATTCGGGAAAGTTTCTTCTCTAGTTTGCAGAAATTTCACGATACCTTACAAACCAGTTGGCGCAATTTCATTGATTGCCCTTCGCCAATAAATTATCCAATCAGAGCGAATCGCTTTTATCGCAGTCGAACCCTTTTACGGGTTTGACGGTTTCGTTTTACAAACGAACACGATCGGTGTACCTACACGCCCCTTTTTTATTTGATTTTCGATTCTGCACGCCTCTGGAACAAATCTTTCGTGTAATTTCCAATATTTCCGCCAGCCGATCGCATGTGTCTGCGACGATATCGATTTCACGGCGACCTTTTATCGCGCTACGAATTTTCAAAGTGTAAAAAGGGTTAGGGTTCTTTTTTCTTTTTTTAAAAGATGCGCGAATAGCATTGCAAAAAAAATATGTATTAGAAAGTATCATGAAAATCAGACACAGATTGCACTTTTCTGGATGATATATAGTAATACATTTTTGTTTAAGTACACACAAAAATCGTTTAATATATACTAAATATATTTTATTATAAAATATTGAATATTAAAATATTATTATAAAATTCTTAAATTTTGAACTTTTTCTAAATTAAAATTTATTTGTTAAAGAATTCGTAAAAGAACAAAACATCATTATTTGAGCGTGATTCTTTACAACTTTCGATAATTATTCTGTTTGTTATATTTTCAGAAGAGAGTAACGGCTTGATAAGCAACGAAAGATACACGAAATATTAATGACCATTGCAAGAAAGCGTGACAGAGAATTGCGATGCGTCTCCACTTAAAATTTGACCAGTATAGAATTGTAAAAAAATCATTTCTCTCGAGGAAACATGTAAATCCGATGATATTCATTAGCAGAGGAAATAATTTATATTCAAAGACTAATTCGAACCATCGGCAAACATTTTGTTCTGTGAACAATCAGTGACAATCAGTCATTTAATTCCTTTCCCGCCTTATTATGAGAGCACGGCACATAATGCAAAATATATAATAACGTAGTTTCACAAGGAGAAAGTAGTTTTATTCAAATTCTCAGGATAATTTTGTCGTAGTTAAACTTCATTTACCTTCGGTTTTCAATGCACGAGAAAATTACGTAAAGCGTTTTTCTGCGGTGTTATTCATCTCGTCGTAATCTTAGACTTTTACATTTTACATGCTTTATACCGGGAATAAATACAGGCAGAAATAAATATCTCTGAAAAGTAAATGTTTATAATCTTCATCTCTCTTTCTTATACAGATTTCTGCTAAATTCTAATAATTAACATTAATATGTACATCTACTTAAAATATCGAGTAGCTTTGTTTTGTTGTTATGTAATGGTTTTGAGAATTATTAGCAATTTGCAACGGTTTTTTTATTTATTCTCAAGTTTACAGGAAGAAAACTAGAATAAGAATAGCATTTCTTTCCTTTATGTACACAATGGAACATTCAACCGTTGCAATGCCTTTGAAAGAATAACGTTCCAACATAATATCGTGAGATACATCGAGGGTGGATCTGTACCAGGTCAGATATATAATACTATACAAGGTGCAACGTTCGTAAACACACGACGCGTCTGGAAAATTGCTGCTTAGGCGCGTTACAATTATGCAAATTGTTCAAACGGTGCTGTAATCCCCTCATATTAAACGTTCCATCTTGCGTTTACGGTATAGAGAGAAATTTAGCGCAAAAAACCGGCAGCGCACGACGAAAGTAATTGCGATTTACATACCACTCGTTATCAGACTGTAACGAAGTATCTGAAAAAATGTTTTCAAGATGATCGATCTTGAAAAAATATCTTGCAATTATAATCAAATAATATAACACAAATAGTAAAATAATCTTTTTTAACGCAAAAAAATTTATTCGACAATCTAATCAGTTAATATTGTGAAATAATTTATCAGTCTAATTAATACGGCTTAATTTTTTAACAGCAGAAAAAATAAGCATCAGTAACTAATAATAATAGCCAATTTTTTACACTTTGAATGTATATTTAATTATTTTATTATTATATATTTGTTTTAATAAAGAAGCAAGTTTGAATAAAGATTTTGAAAGAAGGATATAATAGATTGTATAAAGTAATTGACGTTAATCTTGCATTTTAATTAGACATCTTAAAACTCTGTTAAAATGTAATTCTATTGAAAGAAAATTGATGATGATAGATGGAAGATGGAGTTTATCTTGCGTTTTTGTTATCTTGAATTTTTCTTGCTCACCTTTTCATTTTTCACGAATTGTGCAAATAGACAAGAAATATATTTACAATCGTCCCCCAATGACATGTGCGATGACTGCTTCTATTCGCACGCGATTTCTGTCAAATGTCAAAAGTCGAAGATTCAAGTAATCATCATCGGAAGGCAGATCTGTTTGTTTCGGTGGAAGAAATTATTGACAGTACACTCAGAATACATGAATATCCTTCGATAACAAAATCCCCGCGCAAACATTCGACACGTGTTCTTCATATTTTTCGTTCCCGATGTAGGCGTCAATCTTGTTTACGATAAAAATCAAGACCTGTAGCGTTCACAAATTTTAATATGAAAACGCGGGTCATTTTAGTCATTCCCAAATCCCGTCACTAGGTGATTTATGGGCATTATTACAAATCGTTGATTAGTGTCCCTATCTTCATATCTTTGATCCCTTTTCAAACTGATATTTCGTGACGCTATTAAGTATATATCTATACACTTGTATACCTAACATTTATTAGACACACCTTATATTTTTTTTTCATATTATAGCACAATAATATTTTATAATTGTTTAACAAATTTGCATATGTGCAGTAAAAATTTTTGTCATATTATTTTTTGTTTTTGATTTCTATTGGATAATTTTGATAAAAAAATAAGATTAATAAGAATAATCATATTTGTTTTTATTAGAAGTCTTACAAAGATTTAAATATTTGTATAAAGATTTGAATTAACATGAAGAAAAAATCATGAATAATTCATGAAACAATGAATTAATTATTGTAATAAAAAATTTATTCTTATAGTATTTTTAATAGTTAAAATTCTTTTTTAATTTATCTTGTTTTAACGCGGTTGGTTTCTATAGCGATGTGCATTATCAGCTGATTAATAAGTACGACATATGGTCATCGTTGATTTTATTAGATTATCTGCAACTTATTTTTAGCCGCAGAGGTATTATGCGAGCACAATTGTTAGGTGACTACGGGACTGCAAACGTTCAAGAAGAAATATTATAAAAATTGTAAGTAATAATTGCATATTACTTTATAATATTTTCCATATTATATTTTTTCATTTTTGTATAAATAATATAATATTCAAATTACTAAATATTTGAATATTATATTATTTAATATGTACGATTCATTAATCTGCAAAAATATTATTTGATTTATAACAAAAATATATTTTTACAAACCAGTTGGTATATAGTTATATGTTTTATTATATTTATTGAGGTAAACGCCTGCTTGTCATTTACCCGTTGTACTTTACAGATAGACGGTTCACAAGGAAGCTTTATTAGAAAGTATATTATTAGTAATATATTGATACAATTTTTCTTTTATTTCTTCTTTTGCATATAATAATAAAAAGACACATGTTATAAACTGTTTAAATTTTTATAGAAAAAATTTTCGCGTATAATTAATTCTTAAAAATAAAAAGAAAACTATTTTATATCTTACGGATTTGATAATAAAAAAAATGTCAAACTCAAGTCTTTTCATTAATAAAATGTTTTAAATGTATATCATAAAATTGAATAACTTTAGTTTTTAAATATTATGTGTGTGCACATATATCATAATTTTTCTCCGTAACTGGAGTAAAAACGTGCTCAAGAATTGATTGGGGGCTGCTTGTACACGATAATCTCAAAGCGGTGTAATCGTCCTAAAAACCTCTAATCTTCTAACAAGGCGGCTACATCGCCATGGCACGCGTCTAATACATACACGAAAAAGAGCGGGGAGAACGCTAGAGGTACCCCTCTATAATGATTATGGGGTGAACCTACTCGGTGCCCCATAGAGCCTTACGGTGGCCCTGGGTTCGCGTGGAGGGGGCGAAATACCCCCGGGACGGTATATATGTTCTAAGAGCCCCTTGCCACATGCACAGTACCAAATTGTACCCTGCCTAGTCCGTTCGTCAGCGAATTCTTATTTTCTCGTTGCCCGTTTTGACCCATCGCTTCCGTCATACGAATTTAATCGCATAGTTTTTTGTCTTTTAAAAAAGTGCAGTTTCTACTCTGTGTTGTGTGCTATTTCGGGAAATTTATTGTTCTGTCTCCGAATTGTTTGAAGGTATATTGAAGAGGCATTTGGCAAAGTTTTCAATTTAGAGTCAACGTGAATTATGATATGATATGGAAAACTTTATGCTACAAAATTTTTTAAATTTGATAAAAGAATGTTGAAAATTTGTATCGAGATTATAGAAAAGTGAAAGAATTTTTTTAAAGGATTTTAAAACAGAAAAAAATACTAATTATAAAATATAAAATTGTAGTAAAAATATGCATATATATTTTGAAGAAAAATCTTTTTGATCTTTTCAATGTGCAATCATAATATGCAATGATAATACAACTTTGATTTATATAAAAGTGCTTGATTGTTTTGCATTGTAGTATAAAATACAAACGGAGCGATGTCGTCGGAGTACTCCTTCTGTAGCGAGGGAGGTTTCGACGAACTCTCGAGCTCCTCCGATTCCGGTTTCGACGTGAGCTTTGAATCGCCAAAGCACGAAGTATCAACCGACTCTCTCTTTCCCGCGGCTAAAGAAGAGAAGCGCAAGAAAACGCGAAATACTCGTTGCAAAAGTCCCACGCAGGTACATTATAAATCAATAAAATTTATTTTCATCTAAATTTTTCAAAAATCTTCTTAAATGATATACAAATTTAAGGCATTTTCTAATTACAATCTTTATCTACTTCCTTATGCAAAATCTTTTTTTTTTATTAGTCTGCTTTCTTAGAATAGATATCTGCTCTAAAAATGATCAAGTTTCTTAATTTTCTCGTTTCCACGAACAGGTGTTGAGATTAAAAAGAAACCGGAGGATAAAAGCGAACGACCGCGAGCGTCACAGAATGCACACCCTAAACGACGCTCTGGAACGTCTGAGGATGGCCCTGCCGACGTTTCCCGAAGATACTAAATTGACAAAGATAGAAACGCTTCGTTTCGCACACAATTACATCTGGGCGCTGTCGCAAACCCTGGGTAACTCCGAGGGTGGCGAGATTACGGTGAACGTCGGCAACGTCACCGTCAGCATCGGCGAGACCGGCAACATGATCACCTCATCGACCGGAAGCTGCGCGGTGGCAGCCCAGAAGAGGCTGGGGCCTCAGCATACCGCGAGCTTTCCTTATCCTCCTCAGGAACGATTCGTCGCACCGGAGTGGCAGGAATATGACTGCTACAGCGATCAAAGTGTGAGTCCACCGATGCAGTACCAGTCCTGCTACGATCAGAGGATGTACCAGGTTCATCGCCCTCAGCATCAGCTGCCGCCGCCACCGCCTCATCACCATATGCCTCATCACAATATGTATCAGTGTCTTTAGACTACGCCGACGGCATATGTTTCATTCGATGGCTCGAGCAGTTCATTTCTTCAACGTTACAAATTCATTTATCTTCTTTATCCGCGTCATAATCAGTGTTGCAATATTGAAAGAGATACAAAAGCAGATATTTCCTGGATAATTGCATTAAATAGAGGAAAAATTAAATCACAATATGTATCAGTGTCTTTAGACTACGCCGACGACATATGTTTCATTCGGTGGCTCGAACAGCCAATTTCTTCAACGTTACAAATTCATTTATCTTCTTTATCCGCGTCATAATCAGTGTTGCAATATTGAAAGAGAAACAATGGCAGATATTTCCTGAATAACTGCATTAAATAGAGGAAAAATGGAATATAATTGCATCTGAAAAATGGCTGAAGAGTGTATTTGTCCAAAGAACTGATGTGAGTGTAAAAAGAAAAGACAGTGCTATGATTATATGTCGTTATCTACTTTATAAGAGAGTATTTTATTCGAGAAAAATCGCATCGGGTTTACGATGCTTATAGAGTGGTTGGGGTGGTTTTCTAATTCTTGCTTTTAATTCTTAATGAGTGCATTTTCTTGTACATCAATAAAAAGAACGAATTATAAATAATTAAGATGTACAATGCTATTTTTGCAAGAATGATGATTGTATAAAGTACATTTTATTCTAATTTTGCCAATATTAGAAGTAGTTTAATCTAATAATTCAGTGCGGAAACAAATGCCTGATTTACATCAATTATATATAATTAATAATTTATGGAATTTTTATGTTTTTTAGTTACCGTACTATCTGCGTTCCTTTTATTCTAGTCATCAATATTTTTAGTTGATCTCGTACACTCGATCTCATTTTTGTTCAACGCATCTTAGGCTCTAAATTTAAGTTAACTAGCAATATATAACGTCCGCCAGTGCTCTTATCGAGATTGCCGACATAGGGAGAATATATTGTACATAATTTATACTTTATCAATAAAAGCATATTTTATCTATCTAGCCTGCGTTGTCAATTATATATTTAAATAATATGTTATTTATTATAACACATTTTTAATTCTCGTATTTTAATATTATAGATTTAATTAAAAACACATCCAAGGAGTGAGATTAGAAGCCACAATTTATTGGCTGCATTCTTCCAACGAAATGCTTTGATCCACTTTACAGGAATGAAATGATGGCTCGAGAATGGACGAGCACGTGCCAGGACACGCGTCCTGCACTGAAGCCACCGCAGAGCAGATGTATCACAAATTGTGCCTGAAGTTACATCTACCCATATAATCCGAAGGATTACATGTAAAACATGACTGCGAAACGATCAATCGACGTAAGTGTTGAATAATCAATTTTCACAATTAGCCAGTCATCCTCAAATCAGTTCTCTATTCTCATTTGAAAAATTTCTTACGCAAATTTTAGATTTCACTATTACATAACGTTAATTATTATGCTTTATTACAAAGATATTATGCAAATAATAATTTAATTAATTATATATGTGAATGTTGCGTGAAAAATAAAGAGAGAGATTAGCTATTAAATTTTAAAATCTTAAATTTTTTTCAGCAATTATATTTTATAAGTATATAAAAATAATTTAGAATTGAAGTAATCTTTTTCGAAATATCCATGTGATGAGAAACTTTATTCGTAACATCTCTTTATTAAAAATTCATAAATTTTATTATACTTAAGAAAGAATAGCTTATTATTATGCAAAAGCTTCTCGATGAAGAAAGCGATTTGCATAACGAGAGCAAGTGCAGATCCCCTCGTTGTAACGTGAGGGCTAAGTGTTAGCAAAATAAATAGGAGTGTTCGATCGCTCGATCAAACGCAGAACGAGTGAGAGAGGATCTGTCAAAACAGTTCCGGAGCGTCCAAAATGGAAGGATAATATTTTCCTGTCTCGTTCTCGAGAAAATTTCACTCCACTTCCGAGATCCATCCCTTTCACCCGTTCACTAGGATAATATTGACTTACGATTACGTAACTATTGTGGAAATATTATTCAATTATAAATTGTATCTAAATTCGAGGTTTCTGCTCTTATTTTAATGTATAATAATCTTTTTAGAATTTAAATTTAAGAAATATAAGTTCGGTTATTATAATAAGATCAATTCTAATTATTTTTTTGCAAAAATTAAATAATGCTTGTTGTGTCAATTTTATCTTGGAAATTAATATTTTTAGGAATATGTAAAGAAGGTATAACAAATCAGGGTTAATTCAGGCGCATCCATCAAGACTACTGTGTGAACAATAATTTTCTATACAAGATCTATTTGCAAACAGCGTGCAAGCTGCGACGAATCCGTTAGTACGCTCGATCGTTTCCCCAAATCTCGCCAATAATAGTAATGCCTCAATGGCACTATTATGCGGACGATATATCAATGTGTGCATAGTGCGCGACAGACGGCCAGCATCTATAAAGGTGTTGGATTTTGGGGGATTCAATCAGTTTTTGCTAAGCGCTTACACCCTGTAACTACGTCCACGTAGTAAAAAAAAGATAATAACGGACGCAACAAACAGTTCTATCGCCCGTTTTTATCACATAGAATGTTTTCTTGATTATTTTTTTTTTAGATGAATCCCAAGCTGATTTATATTTCTCTCTTTCTATATTTTTTTCTTCTACTATTTTATTACTCGTTCTATTAATAATGATTACATGTTTATTGTATCAAACGTCAATTAATTTTTCATTACTAAAAAAATTTGACAGCTAATTGTAAAACAATATATAATCTTGATTATTTTCTAAATTTCGCGAAAAAAATTTTTTTTCAAATATGTGACAGTTCGTAAATGCGGGAGCATCTACAGGGTTCACAGATAAAACATTTAATGGCTTCTCATTATTTTTTAGAACGTAGAATATTTTTTTGCACATTGCAGACGCAGTGATTTCGCTTCGATCGACCTCTCGCCGAGTCGTTTCCGTCGAGTGCGTATATCGATCGCGACAGTCGGCCCTCATTGTACAGGCGCGCTGGTCTGTACGGTGACATACTGGTGGCTGACAGAGAGGTGGTTCCCCCTATAAAGAGAGGGAACGGTACGGTCACGAGGGGAACCGGGCATGGGGGCACGGTCATCAGGAGGGTGAGACGGTCTTTCCTAATTCAGGAAAACTCGTGAAATTACCTTGACCGATCGTTGAGCACTTAATCGAAGATTAATGGCCGTGGCCTTTAAAGGCCAGAGCTCTTCGAGAACGACTTGTTCTCTCGCTGGAAGTCTAATTTGCTTCACGAATCAGTAGTCACGCGTCATTCTTGATTAACAAACTCCGTTTCGTCTTTCTAGACTCTAGACAATTGCAATGTTGCAATTATTCAAAAAGCGATGCGTTGAATTCTTCTTCGCTCTGTCACTTCTTCTTTTTTAATTGATCAAAATTATCTGATTATTAAAATCCTAATTATATGAATTAATCGAAAGTTTATTCGCAAACGCGTATGCCTAGAACGGGAAATTCGGTAAGGATCGTGTTTCTCTCTGTCTCCGCATCTGTTTAGATGCAGCGCGTGCAGGGTAGCCGGCTTTTCATTGCAAGTCGGCATTTGCAGGCCTTTGTGGTAAACCACGAACAATGCCGGTTACGCTCCACGTTCAACCAACCCCGATACATCATGAAACTCACTACGATTTCTCCATTCGCGATGACTCGCCCGCGCTAAAATATGAAAAGCCTTATTTGAGTTGCGGCCGATCGGCGCTTCCCTCCGTATCTCCTCAGTATCGGGATTCATGAAATTAATTAGAATGGACCGCGGATTAATTCACCCTCGCATGATGCATCGCCGGATAAATCTACAGAAGAATGAGACGTGCACAAATTATACTGTGTATTTATGCATTGGTGTTATTAAGATTAGTAGTACTGCGAATAGAAAAATTAACAACGAAACGCTTATGAATTATTAATTACATGAATATAGAGACGAAATCGTATTATGCTTCTAAAGAGAATATTTGCTTGGATATAATTAAAACCATAATTTATTTGTATTATCGTAATTTAACTTTAAAATATCAAAACCAGATACATTGTTTATAATTTTACGAAGAATAAAACTTGATGGAAAGAATTGAGTCATTTATTTGGACATATGTGTATAGAATATTTAGATTCCATGTAACACAAAACTGCTTTATTGAAATTAATTTTAATAATGAAATGTAACAAAGCTTCAAATTTTTTCTGAAACTCGAGTAATTTGTACTCGAAAACATAATTTCGTATTTCGTAATTTGCATAATAAAAGTTCAACGAGAATAACTCGGTATGAAAACCTTATATCCGGTAGCCGTTATACTTTGCGATTCTATAATTATCGGTGTCGCGCAAATTGACGGTTTCGTAAAACGTCTAGTCGATGACAGAGACTTGACGAGAATTGTCGCGTACATAACACGTAGACAAACGTATTCATGTACGTATATATACGCATACGTACCCTATAGTTTGACTCCAGTGCTAGACGCGTTAAGGGGACAGATGTATACGGTGTACCCCAGTGGTGCGCGTGCCAACCAACCTCCTGCCGTGCCACCTATTCAAGACTATAATTTACTTGAAGAATGCCCGACCCAGCCAGGCATTCATCCCGGAGTGACGTGGGTTTGCTGCTTTAGATTTAACGGCGAGGATCTCGATCGCGAAGAATCGATCGCAAGTCCGATTGCCACCCATAAACCTCGACGTTTGTATATCTGCGACGAATCGTATCTGTCACAACGATGACATTGATATTCGTAGGCGTTCAACAAAATTAGCCTGAATAGTTTTCAGAATTTTTCACGATAAACTGCAATCTAAAGAACTAACTAGTTCCCCTAACTTTTACCGAAATCAGTAATATCCCAGCAAACACCGATATTGTTACATTGCTATAATAAAACGGAATATAACAGGTAATATAACGTGTACGTTACATGTAACATCCATGTTAGTTGTAATTTTCCACTCATAGATGTAACATTTTAATATAACATATATTACATTGTAGTTATATTGTAATTATATACCAAATAACATATTGATGTATTGATAAGTCAGTGCTATCTTGGGATATAATGACAATATAACTACAATACAATGTAATATATGTAATATTAAAAATGTTACATCTATGAGTGGGAAATTACAACTAACATATACGTTACATGTAACATGCTTAAGTATATAACATTTATATACTGTGTTTGCTGAGAAGAAATAGACGATTGATAATTCAATTGCTGCGATAACAAATATGTAGAAAATAGCGCAATAAAATTATTCGCCTATTTACTGTATTGCTCGGATTTAATTTTTGCGGAGCGATGCATTTAGTTAATGGCATCAACCGCCTTGACACTTTCGGCCCGCGCTTTAATCACATGTAAAACCGGGATTAAGTCCGCGTGAGCCAAAGCCCCGTCGTACAAATCATTGATTTACCTCCGTTGTGAGACGCGCTCGAAGCACTGACTGAGTGCGTATTTTATTAGGCTGGTAGGGCCGAGATTATGCAGGATTACATACGCGCTGAAAGTATGTTTGATCTCTCGTCTCGTCTCTGCCTCAGTTTTATTCGAGTCGAAGGGGTTCGAAAAAAGACAGTCCATTTAAACCCTACTAAAATAGGGCTTAGCAGACTCATTGAAGCAAACGTATATTTGCTC